ACTCAACGTTTCAATACCTGAAATCATTCCAGATTATTGTTAAAAGTGCAATAAGTGCACTCATGGAATGCGTGCCCTTGCAGTACATTGGCCGGGGAAAAGTATATCAGCCTGTCGAAAAGCTACATTCTATTACCGATGACAGCCTACATTGCTGGCTGCTGCTCCATTTTTCATAGTTTTCACTTGAGACAGTGTTTGGTGTCATTGTATTGTCACGCGCAAGGACAATATCATTCATTGTGCTACGTGCGTCGTGTCTGAGTCTAAGTGCGACACCATGCGTGTTACCGTTATGGTGCATTGTTGCGTCGGAACACGTCAGTATTTCAAGACACGTATCGCACGCAATGCGGTGTCGCGTTAATACTGCTGACAGCGCACGTAACGGTTCAGAATCAGTTTTCAGTCATGCGGTGCAGTATACCTTCAGGCGTAAACTACTCCTGCCATCTAGCGGGAGAGTTTGAAGCTTTTTCTGCCTTGCGGCGCAGTATACCTTCAGGCGTAGACTGCTCCTGCCATCTAGCGGGAGAGTTTGAAGCCTTTTCTGCAATGCGGCGCAGTATTACCTCAGGCGCAGATAGCTCCTGCCATCTAGCGAGAGAGTTTGAAACTATTTTGCCATGCGGTGCAGTATCCTTCAGGCGTAGACTACTCCTGCCATCTAGCGGGAGCGTTTGAAGCTCCATTCTGCCATGCGGCGCAGTATAGCTTCAGGCGCAGATAGCTCCTGCCATCTAGCGGGAGGAATAATAAGCTGCTGCATGCAGCTGTGCGGCACAGCATCATCACAGGCAAATACGCTGCTGCCATCTAGGGGTAGGAATGCGAGTAATTGATAGAATCCAAGGAACGTGAGTCTACGAAAGAAAATATCGGCATAGAAATCTACTACTGATATGCACTGCAGTAGCTACTGATATCACACTGATAAGATTTCAATTTTTGTTGATATTCACTTGCCGAATCCTAATGCATTTACATACTACATACGCACGGCATTACGGCTACCTGGCGGCTGAGCACCTCGTAATTCCAGATCGTTTACGTTTTTCGACTTGTCCTCCTTTCACGAAGAAAACTGTTTCTTCACCTCCACATCTACTACGTCGCGCCACAAACTCTCGACACCACACACCCTTCTCACCCCGACCAGCCGCTGACTGCCGGGCTGCTTTGTTGCGCCCGCGCCGCGCCGGTCGGGGCGGGACGCTGCATTGTTGACGACTGCCGACTGCCAAGTCAGCCCCCGGGGCCGGCTGCTGGCACCGGTCAGATATGGGACGGCGGCCGGAGGAGGCGGCAAGCAGCAACGGCGGCCCCGTATTCAGCCCGGCTGGGGCTGCCGGGAGTCGGTAGGCAATCGATAATTCGGCTTCCAGATGGACCAAATTGAGACTACAGCTTTAAACGTAAATTTTCAAGCATCATAAGTCGGCACTTATCGATCTGATATTTTTTTCTATGAAAAAACGACCTCAAAACGATCGATTTAGAAAACCTAGTTTGACTTGATTTTGGCGTCGCGCTAGCATGCTTGGCCTACCAAAATCAATTCCCCATCTACTTGTGACGTGAGACGTTATACATGTGCTCCTGCTGCCAGTGGCGGCGGATTCGATTTTGGCGTGGGGGGGCAAGATCCCAGTCGAGATGATGTTATAGGCGGATCCAGAAAGGCGTTTTCGACGCTGTAGGGGACATATCCTCAAAAAAGTGTCCAAAATCAAAAAACTCCTCGGATTTCGATTCCTTACGGACCTACTGCTGAACAGTATAAAGCAAAAAAAATCTTGATAAAAGTGTTATTATTATAAAACATACCTACCTAAGGAAGGTACGTTTTGTCTATTTCGGGCGATGCAGGGGCCATGGGAAGGGGGAGTAAATATTTGCTTTAACCCTCGCCCGCACATGGGGGGGGGGGGGTGGTTGCCACCCCCCCCCCCCAGGTAGTCTTTCTGCTCTGCACTCAACATTTTTAGAGCTAGAAGGCTGATTTTTCGTATAGCTGCTCCTCTAGCCTTTCTTGATGTCCACTGAAAATTTCAAGTTTCTGTGACTTTTGGTTTCGGAGATATGACCTTGTTTTTCAGGTCATGTCATGACCCAAATGGCCAATTCTCGACATCTTGCTTTGGCTATGGGCCTTGTGAGCTTTTGACACCTTGATTTCGGCCTTTTTTACCAGTCTTACCTCCCACCTATCATGGAACATGTTGTTCGACGATGTACAGATGTCAAGGTCAAGGTCAAGGTCAACCTAGGTCATCTAAGATAATTGCGTTTTAGGCAAGCGGAATTTACTTTTTGTGAAGTTTTTTGACTGCATTTTTGGTAAAAGCTTCTCAGATCATGATTTCATGTAATATGGACACATAAACAATCGGTGCACACATCAGTATACACACAGACACACACAGACATACAAACACATATAATTGACCTTGACCTAACTTGACCTGAAATGACCTCAGCAGCAAAAACCTGGTCGGGTAGTGTGAGAAAGAGGTTCTAGCTGGCTTGGCACCAGAAAACGGCATCGTCATCGGTATATGATAAGCAGCGCACTTGATATCAAACGGTGACCCAAAACAGCAACATTTTTTAGTTTGACCTGACCTGGAAGGTCAATGACTGACCTGAGAAGGTAAAACTGGGTATCATTGGATTCGTCTCTTCCCAAAGAATCTTTTTGGTCTTTACCGCTAAGCTCTATCTCCAACAGGAACGAAATGGCGCGGGGGGGTGGCAACCACCCCCCCCCCATGTGCGTTCTAGGATGGGAAAATGGCATGTGCGGGCGAGGGTTAAATGTCCGCTCCCTGGATCCGCCAGTGGACGATGAAACGCTTTTCTTATTGCTGTATTAGAAAAAAAGCTTCAATGGGAAAAGTTGTGCCATAACCCGATCGCATATCAGATGTTGAAGAACGGTGCCAACCCTTTTGAAGTAGGCGAGCGCTATTCTTCAATGAGGTAACTCGTTACCATTTCCTCTGTTCATTTTACGTTCGATTTCCGTTTAACCTTCCTTTAAAAAGTATTTCTGAGACAGATATCAACTGAAACTAGCTCACAGCGGGAGGAGACCGCTCAAACATTCAGAGACAGTCGGTCGCATCTAAACCTATTGGGACAGCGATCCGCCAGAAACCCTCCCCAATGGCAGTAGTTCGCCAAATAAGCTCACCAAGACGGGCTGTCTCGATGGGTTTATACAGGAAGCCTACAGCAAGGCTTAATAAGGCCCAAACGCTCGTCAAGCTGGGAACAGAGGGCTGAGGTGAGGGAGCGCGGCGGCGGGCTGGGGTGAAGGAACGGTGGCCTGGAACGAGAATCCAGAAGCTCTGGGTGGGGCGTTTCTTTCTTAGGGCTTTAGGGTGCGCTGACTGCGGTAAAAGGTTCAACTTATCACACCAAATCTTGCCACGATATCTACCGGTTCAGGCACTCGAGAATCAGCGGCCAGTGGTATCTGCAAAGACGAAGCATTTCCAACCCAGCTTCAGCCTGGTGTCAGGGCGCCTCAGGTGGCTTTAATTACAGTTGCACATACCAAACGACCTCAGTGCAGCCAGTCTGTGGCCGAAACCATTCGGAACAGACTTCAACGAAAAGTGAGACAAGGTTAGTGCTATCGTTAAGTGCCATTATAGACTTGGGCCCCGTTGGTTTGACCCACTGGAAGGTGGTTGTTATCGAACGCTGCGGGGCATACTCATTGTTCCAAAATGCCTTAGATTTTGCTTTCGTATTCATAGGCGGCGGAACGGGGAGGGCACCGGGGCACCGTGCCCCTTTGATTTTGGCATTTTAACGTTAGCGATATGGGCGTTGCAAGGAAAGAATGGGACCGAAAGTCGGCAGTGCCCCCCTCCCTTAATTGAAGGTGTTCCGCCGCTACTGTTCGTGTTTGATGCTCTTTATTCTATAGCCAGCCTTTAGACAGAGGGGGGCCCACTAATGATCAGTGCCCTAACCCTCACAAGTTTCCAACATTAATATTTACTTTTTTAATAGTGAAATCGAAATAAAGCGGATACTGAACTGTGAACATCCAGTTTTTACACTGGCCCCACACAAGCCTCCGAATGCCCAAAGCAGATCTCTGATGACTGGCCTTTGGGTGTCATACCATACCGTGCATTGGTCAATGTGGTCAATGTGTACGACCTCGGCGTTGACCATTTTATGCGCTGGAAACTGTTGCGCTCGAAAAAAAATCAGGGGAGTGGCTTATTATGAGCGCTCATTAGTCCTAACTACCCGCAAGCGAATGGCTAGCCCTTCCGTCTCCGCTCGCTTGCGATTTGGCATTTATGTATGTAGGTACAAAATAGCGGCAAACGACCGCTGAAGGTATGAGTTGCGTCTCTTGCACACTTAAAAGTTAAAATATCTCTAAATCGAATCTGAAAAGACAAAAAAAAATGATATAAAGCGGAAATGGTTAGCATGTACACATATTCAAAAGGCACCGTTGGACAAACTGTAGGAGCGCATAGCTGCAATATCTGGCTATGGAAATTTTCCTCATGTTTAGTGCACAAATTATGGAGGGGCAAGAATATGCGTTTGCCCCTCCTCCAAAAGTTTCTTAGGGAACGATGCCTCCTCTGCCGCTCCGTATCTGTCGCCCCTGTACCTAAGCGGTCACTGAAGGCCTGGGCTGCTGCTGCGTCACGCTGACGCTTATAATGTCTCCAAAACTAGGTTGAAGAGAGGAAAACTTCAATTGAACGCGAACGCTTGCCATTTAAGAAAGGCAACGTATGATAAAGTATATGGGCATCTGGTTACATCTTCAGATGATCGAACAGCATAACCAGGTATATGGTTTCTTGTCAAGGCTTTGTCACAAATTATGGGGGGGGGGCAAAAAGATACTTTTGCCCCCCCACGAATTTGCCAGGGGTGCAGCTGCCCCCCTGCCCCCCCCCCCCCGAATCCGCCGCCCCTGCCTGCTGCTTATCTACCTAAGATTCCTTTGAGATGCAAGCCGGAGAGGAAGACCGATGAACTGTCAGTTCAGGGGCAGCCAGGAACCAGTCTTAAACCTTCATGGAGCTGCAGACTGAACCAAAGGCAATATATTGAATCGAGCGTAAACAACTGCATATCTAGGTTTCTGCAGCAGTCGCCTTCTCCCCAGCCTGCTATCGCGAAACGGCATTTCGTCAGTTTTTAGCGACATCTACCTAGCGATTTGACTCTTTACTAGCGCCACCTCTGTAAACTACTGCCCGCTATCAGCTGACCGGCGGCAATCAGCTGATGCGCGCCAGCTGACTGCTGGCTGCGTTCCTGACGTCATAGCGTCAGTCGTGCGCGAGTTGTCTCGAAGGTAGGGGTGTCGGGCTGGTGCGCGCGCTTCTGACTGCGCACTGCGCGTTCATCAATACCCACGGAGCAATATGCACGCAGCAGCCACCACAAAGAGGCCGCCACGAGTGGTCACCAGGAGCAAATCAGGTCAGTGCCGGCTGGGTCACTGAAAACAGCTGTTGGGTTGGGCGCTTCGCTGTGTTTTGCTTGCTTTTCTAATGTTGATATTCTTGTGTTTGTGATTGACAGGTGAATGTGTGTTTGAAACGATAAGCTGCTGTGTTGACAACTGAACTCTCTTGTGATCGCTGTTAAGCAAGCTTGTGGTATATTGTGAGAACTCTCGAGAAACTTTCACATCGGCCTTGCACGGCCGGTCAGTCCCACATATTGTCACGCCCCCGGCGAATCCAATGCTGCCGTCGTTGGAATTCTGGCGTGAATCGGCCATTGTTATTGGATCTGTTATTGGAGTGCTAATGAATTGGACCCGTGCATGTCGATCGCTGACTTCAAGTTGAAGTGGAAATTGCACCGAAATGTGTTATAAATAGAATGTTGAACTAGCAATAGCTCAACAATTATATAATCACCACCATGGGTGTCGATTTGTATACCTTTGGGGGTGCTGCAGCACCCCCAATGCTCAAATGAGCACCCCCAATCGTTTTCCGGGCACCCCCAATGATTTTGTCCCTCAATAACTCCCACTAACTCTGCTTCAGGAAAATAATTGTTCTGCAGTATTTCACTACTAAAAATAAAACAATTACGCAATTTACAAGGCATGAAATAAAGATGTAAAGAAAAGAAAAGTTAGTTTTAAGAAGAAGGGCGAAAAAAAGACGTTAAGTTGCAAAGGCACTGGTGTGGGTCCGTCGTACACGTGTGTCGGACCCTTAGAGCTGCTGGCGCGTACTCTTTACAAGCCGGCAGGGGGCTCCAGACAGACATGGGCACGGATCCCAGACGACCAAACACGAAAATCAAAATGAGCACTAGATAAGTGGTCTTTAAGTGTGGAATTATTGTGGAAAACATGGCTAATAGATGTCTCCCAACGAACCAACTATTTTGCATTCCCTCAGAGTTTACAGTTTTGAGAAAATCCCTCAAGATCCATCTCGGATCCATGATCACGAATCATGGATCCGAGATGGATCTTGAGGGATTTTCTCCGAATTGTTAACTCTGAAGGAATGCAAAATAGTTGGTTCATTGAGAGGCTTCTATTAGCCATGTTTTCCACCATAATTTCATGCTTGAAGACCGTCAATCTAATGGCCATCTCGATTTCCGTGAGTGGTTGTCTGGGATCCGTGCCCATGTCTGGCTCCAGAGACCGGCGACGGGCCCTCAGAGGCCAGCAAAGGACCATCAGAGGCCGGTGGTACCTTCAGAAACCCTGTGGGATCGTCTTTAGAGACCGGAACGGACTCAGACGCCGATGGGGCCCTCAGAGTCGCCGGTGTGGGGCCTTCAAATGTCACCGGTGGCAGGGGAGCCGTCACATACGCACTTGTGGGGCCTTCAGAAGCTACGATGTTGGGCCCTCAGAGCCGCCGATATAGGGCCTTAAGAGGCACTAGTGGTGGGGCCCTCAGATATGGCAATGTGGGGCCCTCGGACTGGAGGCGCCGGTGCGGGGGCTTCACAGTCGCCGGTGACGGCCCTCACACTTCACAGGCGCCGTTGTGGGGGCTCTCTGAGACACTGCTTTAGGGCCATCACAGAACTGCTGTTACGGAACGGACCCTTCATAGGCCGACAAGAAGATATCAAGAGGTCACCGGTGCCTTCAGGAGCCTTGTGGGGTTCTCAGAGACTGGCATGGTGCGCTCAGACGCCGCTGGGACCCTCCGAGTCACCTGTGTGGGGCCGTCAGGGTCGCTGGTAACTGACAAGGGCCCTCAGAACCGCCCATGTAGGGTTTTTAAAGGCATTGGTGTAGGGCCTCAGAGTTAGGGGTGTGGGGCCCTCAGAGACGCCGGTGTGGCGCTCAGGGGCGCCGGTGAGGGCCCTCACAGTCGCCGTTATAGGGGCCCTCAGAGAAATGGGTGTGGGGCCATTACAGGCGGGTGCGCAGCTCCTAGAGCTGGCCCCCTATAGGCCGGTTAAGACCCCCAGAGGCCGGCAAGTGGCCCTCAGAGGCTGGCTTGGGGCCCTTATGGAGATAATGTTGGTACTTGTGGGCCCATGAGGTGTTCTTACGAGCCCTGTGGGGCCCTTCTGAGTCCAAATATAGCCAACGTGGAACCTCAGCGTCCAATTGGCGCCGCAGGGCCCCTCAGGCCCGAATAACCCGATGGGCCCCTGAACCTGATGGGGGGGGGGGGGCATGTGCCTCACGGGCCCACCTGGCTACGCCACTGAGGAAAATCGTAAACCCATAAATATCGAAATGCGACCACCTGTCATTTTTTCAACGATTATTGTGATCGTCTGATTAACGCCAGAGCCTCGTAGCTATACCGTTGCCTCCCGCGCAATATCCGCCCCCTGTGGACCGCAGGGGTTGCTGCACCGGTGCTAATCGCGATCATCGGTTTCTGTCACCTTATTACAGAGGTGCCGGGGCTGCTGCCGAGCTGCCGGTAAATGTACGACTTTTTTCGGAAAGATGTTTATTGTAATGAGGTAGCCAAGTACTAGGACGAGCAGAATGATTTTGAAGAACATTTAACCTTTGGGAAATATTAGTGGAAATCCCGGGATTATCAGTACCTTATGGTGATACCCAACCATGCCTTGTACGGTTGTGCCCCATGGCAAAGCTGCAATCTTTCACCCGGTGCAGGGGTTGAGCACCCCCAACCATTTTGAAAAATCGACACCCCTGATCACCACGATCAGTGCCCCCAATTTGTGTTCCGCCTCATTTAAACATAGTTAATTGCAGGGATCTATGAAAGCGACGATGCATCTACGCCGATCCACGACTTCCAAACCCGAGAACTTTTCTACGCCGTAACATTTGGGATCGCGACATTTCCGTGTCCATCGCTTCCTGACCCGATTTTCCTCGGGGCAATGCCGGAATACGCGATTCCAGACAGTCGCTCTTCCATAGCGGCCTATTACGCAGTCCGGTTCACCGTGTCCGTGTCACATTTGACCTGACCTGACCTGTGACGTGATTGTTGTTTTCCAGGAGCGGGCGCTGCCTCTAAAGGTGTATCACAGGCCGGTCAGAGGCGCGACAGTCGACAGAAGTCATCCTCCGAGTCGTCAACTCCGTCTTCTCCCGAAATCAGGTGGGAACGAGTACCTACCGCTTGATTAACTTTTTCGTTGCTGAATTGCCCTTTCAGTAGTCGATAGATAAATGGTTATTTACTCGTGGTCGTTTATAGATGCTTCATAGCTAGTTGGAAGGAGCTGGTTAAATGAGAACCTGAAGAATTAAACTAAATTGTATTGCATTACATTCTTCGCCATCAAATCATTGAAGGAACGTTTGGGTCATTAATTCATTATCATTACCAAGGCCATCTATAGAAGGTACAGTCACTCCCCCGCCGACCAATCAGAGACAGATCCTGAGTGACGTCATCCCTGATGCTCGCAAGGGGTACTCCATTCCTTTGCAACGTAAAAATGACTGACTTCATTTGAATATTATTGATGGCACTCTGCACATACCGCTCAGCCGTTGATGTCAATGGAAAGCCCAACTAATTTTCCAGCGACAAGAAAGGGCAGCAATATGCTAAGAAATGGCCGGTTTTGAAGATATAGACGATTTAAAAACCCTCTGCAACAGCAGGAAAGCAACGTAAAAACGCATCGAGCTTATATTTTTACTATGGATAAATCATTTTTCAGTAAGTTTTTAGATATGGTATATATTTAAGTTACAACTTTATTACAATATTTTCATTACTTGAAACTTTATTTCAAAATAATATTTTCAAAAATGGCAGCTGTTGGCCAGTAGCTTGGGAGCGATTGTGGCGCGCCGCGCCATTAATTGTCCTGTGGCCCCCTTATGATGTCATCAAAAGTGGAGTGACATGGGCCTGATCATTACTATCTTCGGGTTATGGTTGGCGGTCGGTCGGTTCCCATACGATGGCACCCGGAACTGTCCTTTGCCCCCCCCCCCCCTCGGGGAGTGCGCATAGAACGGTCCTGCTGGTAACCCCGTGCGTGTGTCAATCGCCGTCAAACGGTCCATAGCCGAGATTACTGCCGATAAATAACCATTGGACCGGGGCATTCCTCAGGGAAGGGTCGACCCCCCCCCCCCCGCTGGGTGGCGCGGTCCCGCGGACGCTGGGTCAAAGGGGGGGGGGGGGACGCCAGGCTGGAGAGGTCCTTCCTCCCTACCTCTGGGGTAGGGGTGGGTAGGGGTGAGGTGGGAGGGGGGGGGGGGAGGGAGATTAGCCTCTGACCGGGCGGAAATAACGGTCTCGCTGCATTTACATGGGGAGACGCTGGCAATGGTAATGGGCATTCCAACCTGTACCGGGGGCAGTGTGGAAGCATGGGTCGGGGTTTTTCGCTCCTCCCGTCCCATGCCACTAAACCTCGGGGAGGGGGGGGACGCACGTGTTTGGGATTACCGTAGCCTCTGACTGGGGAGCCGCTTTCAGTAATTAGCCTGCGTGCCCGTGGTTTCGACTAGCCTCTGCCTGGGTCATGGCGTGGGGGACGACCCACGTGATTGATGGGTTTACGAGCACCGGCACAGTCCGTTTTGAACGCCTTACTCTTACTTAGTCCTGACTATGAGAGCATACTTATTGAATTGTCGATACTCCAATAATGTTTTTCGGCGGAGAGTGTTGTGTGCGGTCAGCTCATCGCCTACCTGCTTGCGCACGACATTCTGACCGAGACGCAGCACGGGTTCCGGCCTGGCCGATCCACGGAGTCGGCGATGCTGGACACGGCCAGTTTTCTCATGGAAGGCCTGGATGGCGGCCTCATAGGGTGTCTGACGACCGCTGACACCAGTAAGGCTTTTGACAGTGTCCAGCATCCCCGGCTCCTGGAAAAGCTGGGCTGGTATGGAATCGACGCGCACTGGTTCCGTGACTGGTTGTCCGACAGATGTCAGGTGGTTCGGGGTGGTGAGGAGGTGAGACCGATCACTCACGGCGTGATTCAGGGGTCGCTGCTCGGGCCGATCCTGTTTTTGATTTTCACGAATGATCTAGCATCGTACCTGGACACAAAAACTGTTATGTACGCCGATGACGTTCAGTTTTTGCATAGAGCATCACCAAAGCACATGCCAAAACTCAAATCAGATATAGAGAGCACTTTAGAGATCGCAAGTCACTGGTTTGTTCAAAACTGTTTGAAAATCAATCCCACCAAAACAGATCTTGTTGTTGTAAAGTCACAAAGGCGCCGACTCGACACAGAATTTACTGTTAAATTTGGTAGTGCGACGATTCGTCCATCTGTAGCGACCAAGATTCTCGGTGTGGTAGTCGACTCCGGACTGACTTTTGAATCGCATGTGACCGCGGTTATCGGCCGATGCTATGCCACACTAGGGGGACTGTCCAGATCCGCTCGCGGCCTGCCGCGAAACGTGAAGCAGATGATCGTGGAGATGTTAATTTTCCCCCACATCCGATACTGTATGTCTGTGTGGTCGGGATGTGGCGTCGTGCAGCGACACCGTATTCAGAAGGTGATAAACCACTGTGCACAGGTCGTCATGGGGGTCCGACGCTCGGCTCATGTGACGCCTCTGTTGGCAGAGCTATGCTGGCCCCATATAGACAGGCTGGTGGCGGAGAATGACTGCAGTACTGTGCATTACTTGTTGAATAATGTTCATGCACCGAAGTGCCTCTCTGAGCGGTTTGTACAACGCAGCGACGTGTCGAGCAGACAGACTCGAGCCACTGAGAATATGCAGCTCGAACTGCCGAGGGTCCGCACCGAACATGCTCGCAAGTTCTTTTATTACCGCGCCTGTGACGTTTGGAACTCGCTGCCAGCAGACATTCGGTCGTCACGCACGTCGGCCACTTGTCGCAGGCGTTGTCGACGATTATTCAATGGTGACTAGTCACTGTGCGCGTAGCTTTCGGTCATTTGTACCGATATGCATTTTACTTTTTAAGTCCCATGCTTTTCATGGTTTTTACTTTTAGCTTTAGTGTTTATTTTAGCTTTATATATGTGCCTACCTATTTACTGTATGACACTTGGACTGAAAAGCCGTGAGTGCATGGAGCTTCCAAACGAAATAAATGATGATGATGATGATTCGATTTTCCCTATCTATCTCGTCTGGTCTGTCCCGTCATATCTCACTTCGTCCATCTGTGTTCCTTCTGACCTGTCTCTGTTTCGGACCTACGACTGACTGTACACTTGCCTGTCTAAACCGTATCACGCATTATCCGTTTTTCGTCTATCTGTGCCCCGTTCGTCTGATCAGTCTTCCCCGTTCCCGTTTTAGTCGTCTAGCCCATCTGTGCCTCCTTGATTTTCCGGCTGACCCATTTCCCGTGTTCTATCATAATTCATCTTCGTTGTCTGTTCCGTTTGCCCCGTCATTTGTAGCTCAGTCTGACCCCGTGTTTATAGTTAACTTGTCTGGCCCTCGTTTCTGACGTCCCCCCCCCCCCCCACAGCTCCGGCCGTGCGATGTACCCCCCATCACCACACCACCACCAGTATCACCAGTATCAGTATCAGCACCAATATCAGCACCAGCCGCACCAGCACCACGGGCAGCATCCTCAGCAGCACCACCAGCAGGGTCGGAGACACCAGCAGCGGGCCAGGAACGAACAGCATCACCAACAGCAACAGCAACAACAGCAGCAGCTATCGCCTCAGCATATGGAGACGGTGCGGTTTCTAAACCAAAGTGAGTGGAAATACGGGATATGACGAGGTGCGGTAAAAATGTAATATTTTAGTGGTGGGTTCATTCGTCATACATCTCTGATTTTGCGCCTCGTTTCACGTTACGGACGATACGGTAAATGCGACATCCTTTTATTATTTAGGGTTATTTCTTGGTATCATTGACCGTTTTCGGCGATAGAAGATCGTTTCATTCCTCCGGTTGAAATAATCATAACGCTCTTCGTGTGTTATGTTCAGACGTGTTTGTTTTGACGCCCTGTCCCAAAATATCTCGTGCAGTCGGTATATCATCCACGTGAAAATGCCTCTCTGGCTCTTCCCGTCCCCGGCTCTGTCCCGTGAATGTGAGGCCGTTTTCTGAATTCTGACGGTGCCGTCCCGGTTTTTTTTTCAGCATGGAGAACAGTGCAGGAGGAATGTGAAAGCTCCGGGTCAGGAGGTGGTGGTAAGTTAAAACCCGATTTACACACTTAGAAGGCTGGCGCTGCATGATCCTGCCTTCATCAGACATCACACCCCTAAACCCCAACCAATGCACCGCTCAGATGTATAATACGGTGAATGTTCATCTTCGTTTGTCGTTAGTTGTCAGTTATCACCCACGCAAAGTGAATGCTAATTGTTAAATGGCGAAAGTTTTCTCTTCAATTACGAGCTGTGCGGGTTCAGTAAGGAATATTAACTGGGTTTTCTGGAAATAACCATCACATCCCTTAGCTGGTTCTGAATACTTTCCTTTTGCCATTCCGTAGCTATCTTAAAGGTAGTGTGCCACCTTCCAATGATTTCCCATTTTATTTTTCCTAGGATAAGAAGCTTCTGTTTTTACCTAATATAGCAAAAAAAAATCAAAAATGGGCCTGGAATAGTGCCTTTTTCGCCTAAAAGTTTATCGGTTTTTCGATATGTATAACAACTGTAGTGGGCTGACCTGCAAACAGGCGTCGGCAACAATCGCGAATGCGGCGCACATGTGACAATAAGCAAAGGTCATTATAGAGTTACGATGTAGGGGAATGAGTTATCAGCTGTCTAATCGTAGACAACACAATGTCGAACCTTAAACTGTAAGCCTGTATTGGTATTGTTTCTTTTATTTGGCTGTCGAACATTATTTATGGTTTGAAATATGATTTTATGTAAAATAATTGATATGAAAAAGCCGTCTCTTAAGTTATGACCCCATTTCACCACACGCAAGTGGCAGAAATGACAATGATCAGCTGACGCATTTTTCTTGGCCGAAGTCAGAGCGCGCGGCCCGACGCACCACCACCGCACCACAAAGTATGAGCAGAAGCCGCGCCCAAAGCCAGGGCCCCGGTAACGTGAGGTAGCCGAGTCGGGGCAGCGTGCGCTGACCCAAGCCGGGGCCGCGGCTTTGGGCGCGGTCTACCGCATCCCCGCGGGCAGCCCCGGGCTATCACATGACACCGGGAGGACGCGCGGCCCCGGCTTGGGTCAGCGCACGCTGCCCCGACTCGGCTACCTCACGTTACCGGGGCCCTGGCTTTGGGCGCGGTCTACCGCACCACCTAACAGGCGTGTTCGAAACCGCAGGAGATGATGATGAACGGGTTTATCGAAACTTGATTGGATGAGCCTATCGGTAATAGCGATTTCAGTGTGTGCATTTATTGTTCATAGTGGTGTGAAATGTGGTTGGGGTACAACCGACAACCCGTCGGGGCGAATTTCGCACTGGGGTACTCAAAATTTGAAGAATTTAAGACGTTTCCATGAGTTTTGAAGGTATAGATAAGTTCTAAAAATCCGGTTCTCCTTATCTGGGCCATTAACTCCATACGGTCCAGGAAAGCTGGCACACTACCTTTAAGCTATTTCGATCATGGTTCATCGCTTATTCAATGTTATCTTTGCCCTTTTTACGTTATCGTGGTAACTAACTCTCAGAACTGATTGCTAGCGGTTCTTATGATTCATCTACAAATTTCTAACTTTTTTGTCCCATACGTATTTAATTGTCCACCATGAATTGTTCACTTATATTTGCATTGTCCCATCTCGCCATTGCTCGATATCACGTAAGTTTACTTGTCTTTGTTTCAGATGTCTCCTCACTGTACTATCAGGAGCCGGCGAAACACCCGGCGTTACAAGGTAATGTTTCTACTGATACAGCCGGTCATATTGGCATCAGCTTAGCTTCTAGAGACCTTAAATGTGTGTAATGGCTATATATTTCAGTACAACCTGAAAAACCAGGCTGTACTGAATGGGCTCAGAATGGCTCGCCGTCAACGAGCTTCTGCTCCCCCCCCCCCCCCACCCCAAGCAAATAAACAAACAAACAAACAACAAACAAACAAAGAGGGTTGTGCCGATGTCATGGCCGGCTGCCCGTGATTTACCCAGGTTGATGCCCTCGCCGCGGAGAGTCTGACGTATTCTAGTGTCATCTGTTGCTTGGTTGGCATCTCTGCTACAGATATTGGATCCACGACTGACCACTGAACCTTTCAGGCTAATTGATTCTTTGACAGAACAATGGTAACATGTCAATTTTCCTGGTATTGTTTGACGGCAACTGCGACCAAGTTCCATAGATAACGATCATGTAATCGCGCAGTCGCTCGTTTCTATGCAGCAACCTGAGGCTTATTAATGACGTCACCGGCTATTTTTACGGCACCGGATCATATTCGTATAGTTACTGTCACTGACTTTATTGGCTCGGTTGTTTCAGATTTCAAGCCGTTCGATCTGGAGTTATTCTGGGGGCGGCAGCTGCACTGTCGGCTCACCAAAGGCAACAGCTGAACATCTCATCAGAACCCGTCACCGCAGTGAGATGACGTCACCGGAGTCTGATGACGTCACTGGAGTGGCACCCGTTCACGTTTTTCATAATATCACGGTTGTGAGTGGTGTTACTTTTGTAGAACAAGCATCAATTTTACAGGGGGAGGGGTTTTGTTTCCGAATCTGAAGATGTTACGCTATGTCAGGATCATGACATAACGGTCTTTGTCATAATGTGACATCAGTGACATGACATCATGATGCCATGGTGTCACATTAGGGTGACTGCACCACAGCTGTGATATTGTCGCCAAATCGCGATGGTTGGTGTGCTGTGACGTCGCTCGCGAGCCGCCGCCGTAGCCTTGGTTTTTGCAATTGATTCATTCCGGTTTGTTGTTTGTGCGTGTTTTGCACGTTGACGCAGCAGTTTTAGTACCAAGTGAGTGCTTGACTGTTGTTTTTACTTGAATCTAGAAGAGGCTAGCTGGATAGATGCTAGCAAGGCGGTGATTAGATAGATCTTGCGCTATCTCTCACTTGAAGGCGCCGCTAAGTAATTGCGGTGCCGTTGCCATGGCAGCCTGCATTTTCCATTTAGACCAGCATAATGCGATAGACAAGAAAGCTTTATCGATGGCTGTCGTTGAGTTTTGCCGTGGTTGGCACAAAATGTGACGGATGAAGGTACAATACATTCAACACATCTGGCTGAAGTGACACTGTTAGCCTACTGCTTGGCCTGTGGATATGTAACACTTCCAGTTTTGCGAGCTGCCTTTACAGCTGTTCCCTACTCGTTGGAGCTGTTTATCTTTTGTATTGTCCTCGAGTTAGTCGCTAGACATATATTGATATCCAATTCTGTACCTACTTGAGTGCGCGAATCCCGGCTGCCCTTGCCAGTGACCAACCAGTCCATGCGAAGGGGCCTTTTCCACTTCTATCCCTCCCCTATCCACCCGTCATCTTTGCTTTGCCTTTCGACTGTGTTGCCTTTACATTGCGCAGAGACGTTCACTGAATGAACAAGTTTATTACCACGTCTGACACGCTCTTCACTGGGTTCCAAAACCCAACACAACAGTTCCATTAGCAGTTTGTGCCTGGCCAAAGGACTTGTCCTCCTGGACCATTCGCGAACACGTCATACTGACAGTCTGACTGCTGTAGATCGCCGTTTGCAGGCGAGAAAACGTGCGCAACACTTCGCAGCTCAGTCTCCAAACGTCATTTCGATGGACGATGTAGAACACAAACGCGTCAAAAGCAGCGAAAAGTCAGTCTGGGGCCGTCGCTGCACCGCAGGCAATTCCACCAGGCACCACGTCGTCGCGATGCGTGGGACATTTCTGTTCTAGCTGGAGTTCTGGGCTGATATAACGTCTCCCACACGGTATTGTCATAGTGGTGGTCCTTTCTGTCGTCCACAGTCACTTTCAGAGAATGGACATTACTGGTAAGCTAAGTCGTAATGTCAGTCATGGACAGTGTGGACTGGCGGCTTCTCAGTCACAGTCTAAGCTAATATGTCACGGTCAGTCCAGTCACGGTGAAATCAGTCACTGCCATGTCACAGTCCTAGTCACGATAAGTCTCAGACACGTTAACAATCAGTCACAATCTTAGGTGTCAATCAGTCCTATCATCACCTTACAGCATCTAATATCACTAGTGGAAGAGCACATCAGTCGCTTGTGACATCAACAACCGCAGGTCATCTAGCATCTAGCCGACGAGATGGCCTCGCAGTTTGCGCCCTCCCCTTCCCTGCACATTCGGCTCGATTGGCTAGTTCACTCTTATTGCAGCTGGCCATATGATTGGGCCAATGAAGCACAACTTCGCATAGTTCAATGCCTAAACCGACCACCGGTTTCTCTGTGTGGATGTCGATGTGGCTGTGAACTCCAGATGACGTCATCACAAGCTGGATGACGTCACGGGTTACACGACTGCCATCGCTGCCTTCACTTGCATTACGTACAGTTGTGCACAGGTTGCTTGGGTTGAAGCTGCACTAGAGGCACACAATATTGACAAGACGGAATGACTGACATTCATCGAATGCGCCAAGCAGAGCACACATTCCCACACGAGTGTCACCAAATCCAGTTCATTCGATAAACTGGAGGGCAAGGAAGCATTGACACTTACGCTACTGGTTTGACATGGGGCATATTGACACGACAATCGGTCATTCAAGCACTGATCGACTGATAGTGATCACTTTTATCACACACTTGCAAACCTGTAACGACACACGACACACAAAGAGAAATACACCGGATGGAAATGGTGTTAGGATATGCCGGAATATCGAAATTCGTAGGCCTAGTTTAGGGAGGAATCATTGGTACCTGGTAAAATTGCCATCAAACAGCATTAAAGTCGAGCCTGATGGATACAATTTTTACATGGGTAGATATGTATGTGTTGGCCACGCAATGTGAATATGACCAAAGAAAGTTGAAGAGGACGGGAAGAAGCCGAGACAGTAAGCGAGAAAACGATTCATTTACAGTCACAGTTCATGCAACTCACAACATGAGCTGACGAGAGCTGATAGCGACTCACATCACCCAAAACTCACAGCGCCTGCGTGCACGACTCACAGCACTCTCAGAGGCACAACTCAACTCACCAACTCCGGCGCAACGCGACTCATCAACTCCGAGTCACATACAATCGACATACCATGGACCACACAAGCATCGCTTCGCTGCACAGCGCTATGAGCGGCATTGGCCGTAAGTTTTGGAACATTCACGACGTGAAAGGACTGGATATCCGTCAGTCAAACGCTGTCTGGTTCGAACTTTCAGAAAGAAGCACATTCCAGAAATTGAAGTAATATGACTGTAGGTCTCACTTACGGATTTTTTTAACTTGACTGTAAAATTTCACTTATCAAGTTCTCAACAAGGTAGGTGCTGTCTCTTAACCGTGTTAATGCCGCAAACATCCAAATCAGCATGGATTCGCAAACACTACCTCATAAGCCAACACACATCAATCACTGGAAGAAAACCCACACACTTTCGTCCAAACAAAGCGGTACGTAACGCTACGAACATGTAACGTAGCTTTTCACTGTCCGTTCACTGTCTGGACAAAGTGAAACGAACAGCTCCGTTGTCCGCATGTTCAACACAGTCTTGGAACTATCCTTTCACTACAGACCTCCAAACTGGTCATGTCTTGCCGGTCTTCTATTGGACCCGGCACTTCATGGCTTTTACGGGTCTTCTATCCCACGCAGCAGCCCCGTACTTAACAACTGACTCAAGATGTCCGTCAAACCCCCTTCATCTCTCGGGTTTCCGGGACTTCAAAATATCGGTCACAGGTGCCTTCACACTGGTGTCTTACCATCTCATTGCCGTTTTCATTTCTTCAACACACCTCTTTACCTGTTGTCCTGTGCCTAACACAGCACCGCCCGCCATCCACGGCACGGCACTAGCCTTGTCCCACACTACTGCACGTACCAACCGTAGTATTTAGAAGCAACAGCAACGACTGGTGCCAGTGCCATCCCTCTCTTGTGGTGACGCAGAGGCGTTCCGAACGACGCCATCCTAGCGAGGGCGTCCGGGCGGCGGCGGGGGTGGTAGCGTGGGGGGTACTCTCAGCTTTGCCGCATCCTCCACACACAGAAGGTGACCGCCAGCGCCGTGACGGTACAGTGGAGCAGCTTCCGACTGGAGTCGTCCCGTCGGACCAGTACCACTGGGGAGCCGGAGCTCAGAGAGTGCAGAGGCAGCCTGCGGGACGGGGAGGGAGTTTTGTTAGTATTTAGACAGAAAGACTCAGGAAGTGGAAAGATAGTTCATAGCGGACAGGAAAAATTGGCAGCATTGATGCTAAACTTTGCACTACACCCTGCAATTTTCGAATATTAAAAATTTTGACTGTGGTCCTCCCAACACATGAGATCGAAATTTAGCGTGGTTAAAATACTGTTGTGAAATGCGGAGCTCCCTCGCATCATCCTCACGCGACCAATACCGATGTTTTGATGGTTAACCGGGATGTCGAAATACAGGACAGTTGGACCCCAGAACTCAAGTGTTTTATCACGATTAGATTAGATTAGATTTATGAATTGATTCTGATAATGGATGTTAGACGTTAGACACTATGGACGGTAGATTACAACAAGACTTCGATTTATAAACGTTTTGAATCCAATCACAACATCTGGTGACCGTGACAGGACTCAGGTCAGGACTAGCGAAATGGAAGCTTACATTGAAGTCGCAGCTAGACATGGATTGACAGGCGAAGCAGCGTTGACTTTCGCATGCAAACAACTAGAAAGAGAGGAGAGAAGACTGGAAAGAGAGAGGGAAAAGGAAAAGGAAGAGAGAGAAAAGGAAAGAGAGAGAGAAAAGGAAGAGAGAGAAGAAAAAGCCAAGGAAAGAGATAGGGAAGAACGCGAAAAGGAACGAAAACATGAACTGGAGCTAGCAAGATTACGCGCCCCGTCGGAAACCTCGGCGGACACGGAGAGGCCGAGACGGGGCACTGTTACGGGTCCCAAAATGCCCACGTTCGACGAAGAAAAAGACAAAATGGATGCCTACATCAAGAGATTCGAGCGCCACGCCCGGCTCAATGATTGGCCGGAGCACCAATGGGCAGGGCACCTTAGTGCCCTCCTCACAGGAAAGGCTCTAGAAACATATTCCCGGCTTTCAGAAGAACAAGCGGAGCGGTATGAGGATTTAAAGGCAGCCTTGCTCGAGCGGTATGGGCTAACATCAGAGGGTTACCGCCTGAAACTGAGAAATATCTTACCAGAGACAGACGAGAGCCCAAGTCAATTTTTGTCTCGTCTTGAGTCATACTTGGCCAGGTGGATCGAGCTGTCGGGAACTGATGCTTCGTACGAAGGTCTCTTCGATCTCATCGTGACTGAACAGTTCCTGGAAAGCTGCCCGGACTCCTTGGAAGTCTATCTCAAGGAGAAAGGATGCAAGGTGTCCGCTGACTTAGTCGAACATGCGGCGCAATACTTAGTCGCGCACGGTAAAACCTTGGAGTCTATGTTAAGACGATCAGTCGGCAAAAATATAGCATCAGCCACCGCCCTTGCGACCAGTTCTGGATCTCTTGGTCAGACATGCCTGTTCTGCGAGTACCAACATGCCACGAGCAAATGTCGGAAAGCTAAGCATATGACCATAACTGACCGGCGAGATCGTCTGATTCGAGCCGGCGCATGTTTTTGGTGCTTAGAACCCCGGCACCGCGCAGCGGAATGCCCCGCCAACAGACCCAGGTGCGAGCGGTGCTCGGGCCCCCACCACTCGTTGTTGTGCGAACGATCCGCATCTCGGACGGTCAACACAGCACAACTCGAGACATCAGCGACAGAGCCGTCCTCGAACCCGACGGTAATAGCCGCAAGCGCTAGCGGAGCGAGCGCTGGAGGCAATGGGGTCATTCTAATGCAGACGGCGCGGGTGTATGCAATGGGCGAAGCGGACCGAAAAGTAGTAAGGGTAATGCTGGACACCGGTAGTAACCAGTCGTTTGTGACATCCGCCGTGGCCGACCAGCTTCACTGCCAGCAGCTGGCCCTCGACGACATGAACGTGCAGTCATTCGGAGGTGGGCAGACGAAGCAAAAGATGAGGAAGGTGCAGATATCACTAAAAGGCCTCTGTGACGGAACCCCACCTCTGGCGATCACAGCCTATGTCGTGCCGACGATCTGCAGCTCACCACCGAGAGCGGAGCCGGCGATCAGACGTCACGCTCACTTGAAAGGACTGCAGCTGGCTGAACCGGTGACACTGGAAGGCGAAGATCACACCATCTCCGTACTGATTGGACAGGACTACATGCGGGAAGTGATCGACGGCCGCATGAAGATCGGAACTGCCGGGCCCATCGCGCTGGGCTCGCGATTCGGCTGGATCATCTCCGGTCCCTCCGGCTCTGGGAAAGCAACTCAGGCAGCGACTTCCAACTTCATCAGAGCGGAGAAGGCCGAAGACCTCTTACAAGACCTCTGGAGCCTGGAGAAGGTAGGAATTAGTACCGAGGAAGCCGATGGTGGAAAGGACCGCATTCGCTGCGACGATGAAGTTAAACGCTCTTTTGAAGAGACGCTGGAGCGCCTACCAAACGGAAGGTATCAAGTCTGTTGGCCTTGGAAGGAAGGGATGAGAGCCTCCGTCCCGACGAATGAAATACTCGCGAGTACGAGGCTAAATGCCTGTGAAAGGTCACTTAAGAAGAAAGGACGGCTGAACGAGTATGATAACGCAATCCAAAACTACTTGGATGACGATCACGCGGAGAAGGCGCCAACCGTACCCGACGGGCCAGTGCATATTTTGGCTCATCAAGCTGTCTACAAAAAGAGCAAAGTGCGGGTAGTTTTCGATGCTGCAGCTGGACAACCAAGTGCCCTGAACGATCATATCAATGCTGGACCCAACCTGATAGCCGATCTCACCGGCCTTCTCATTCGCTTCCGGTTCAGACGAGTGGGTCTCGTAGCTGACCTCGAGAAGGCATTCCTGCAAGTGGCACTGCATCCAGCTGAGCGGGACGTCACGCGCTTCCTATGGAGGGAAAGAGCGACCGATCCTGTCCCGACGACGTACCGGATGACAAGAGTTATCTTTGGCGTAAATGCGTCCCCGTTCCTCCTCCAAGCCACCATCAGGCATCACCTGAAGCTCTACGAACAGTCCGACCCCGAGCTGGTGACATTGCTGAAGCGAGACATATACTGTGATGACCTTATCACTAGTGTCGACACGGAAGAGGAGGCGGAGGAGGTCAAAGCTCGGACACAGTATATCTTCCTTGATGCAGGGATGGTCATGACAAAGTGGGACAGGAGTGCCTCGGGTGAAACGGCTGAAAGGAATATCGGTGATTGTGGGGAAACTGACCGGAAGGTACTGGGGGTGACCTGGCAGCCGGCTTCAGACGTTCTGGAGATGTGCACACGCACACTGGCAGAGTACGCTGCGGCGTTGCCGGAGACCAAGCGGACCATCCTGAAGATCGCCGCTGCGTTCTATGACCCGCTTGGCTTGATGGCGGCTTTCTCTGTCAGAGTCAAGATGCTCCTGAGGGCCCTGTGGAGACAAGGTCTGGACTGGGACGAACCAATCACGTCAGAGTCACGATTCCAATGGAGAAAGTGGCTTGCAGAGCTAACGCAGTTCGTGGCCTTCAGGGTTCCACGCTTCTACGGGCGACATGACGAAGTCTTCCAGTTACATGTCTTCTGTGATGCCAGTAAAGACGCTCTCGCCGCAGTAGTGTACATTCGCAGCAGTACTGATGCACCCGTCCAGGAAACGGCACTGGTCATCTGCAAAACACGACTCGCGCCGTCACAAGGCCTATCAATTCCCAGACTCGAACTTACTGCGGCGCTCATCGGAGCGCGTCTCCTAACCTTCGTGAAGAAGCACCTGCCAATCGCGCCGTCAGCAGAGTTCCTCTGGACGGACTCATCAGTCACCTTGCACTGGATCCGAAGTAATGCACTGAGGTGGGGAACGTACGTTCGGAACAGAGTCCACGAAATCCAAGCACTGACCTCACCTGACGCCTGGAGGCATTGCCCAGGGGTGGACAATCCCGCAGACCTGCCATCTCGAGGAGCCGCATCCCGCTTGACCCATCTAGGCGTGACCTGGAAGTTTAACGTGCCAAGAGCCCCCTGGTGGGGAGGATTTTTTGAACGAATGGTGCGGACAACAAAAGACGCTCTGAGGAAGACATTGTACAAGAGCCTGATGACGTTCTCCGAGCTGCAAACAGTGTTATGTCGCATTGAGAGTGTCATAAATGCGAGACCACTTTCACCGCTCACTGAGGACATCAACGACGTACGGACTCTTTCGCCTGATGACTTCCTGCGAGATACGTCACATGAGTCTGCGGAGCGTGCCGCCACGGACCACCCGGAGACGGATGGCGAACCTGGGCGCTCTCTGGGAGCAAGATGGAGGTACCGACGGCAGGTCCTTCAGCACCTTTGGCAAAGGTGGGCACGAGAGTACGTGAGGGAGCTGAGAGTACCGCGCCGTGAGCCAAATGATCAGCCCAAGGTGGGGGACATGGTCTTGATCGGTGATAACACGAAGACATCACCAGCACTCTGGCAGATGGGCAAAATCACCCAGCTGCACCAGGGACGGGACGGTTTGACCCGGTCTGCGACAGTGCGAACAGCTGGTGGTGAGCTCGCGCGGCCAGTCCAGAGACTGTACCCCCTGGAAGCAACCTGACTTCCAGGGTCACAGAGACCGGAACAACAGAAGCGCGTGCTGGCGCACTTTCGCGGGGGGAGGATGTTGTGAAATGCGGAGCTCCCTCGCATCATCCTCACGCGACCAATACCGATGTTTTGATGGTTAACCGGGATGTCGAAATACAGGACAGTTGGACCCCAGAACTCAAGTGTTTTATCACGATTAGATTAGATTAGATTTATGAATTGATTCTGATAATGGATGTTAGACGTTAGACACTATGGACGGTAGATTACAACAAGACTTCGATTTATAAACGTTTTGAATCCAATCACAACAATACATTGCGACCAAAAGGACTTCTTCGGCTGGAACGTTACCGATCGAAAACCCTCGCCTCACCCAGGCAACACAAATAACCCCAACTGTCTCGGCGCCGAGCACCGCCCTCGTGACTCACTTGAGCAGCTTGCTGGCGTCGTGTTCGACCTGGTACTTGCAGCAGGGGTCAAACTGCCAGCTGATGGTGTACAGGGCCGTACAGAAGAGCGACAGACCGGCGCAGGGCACAGAGACCACCGGACGCTCTGTCCAGATCGCGCCTGTGACCGGGGGCAGAGTGTTCTTAGCAAACGACTGCTAGCGCGTGACGGGCATCGACCATGGGTCAAGGCACCTTGAGGAGGTGTATTTCGAAATGAGGCGTCATGAGACATTAAGCAGCTGGTGAATAAATGCCGTCATTTACGACGATAAGATCCGTACTTTGACGAGTCGGTACTCACCTGAGAGGACAGCCCCCATGCCCGACAGCACCGCCGTCTTGTGGAGGAAGTTTCCCACGTTTATCCACCTGAAAGACAGCGACAAATTTTAAAAAATAAACGAATTTTTAAGACGACAAAAATGTTGTTTATTTCAATTTTGTCCATCATCGTAACTAGCAACAAACTTTTTAAAATAACTTGTATCCCAAACGATTCTTTGTGTGATCACCATTGACGCTAATAATTACGCAAATCAATCACAACAATAAAAACTAACGGCACGGACTCTTGATCCACATCTCTCCCCCTCCCCACTCATCTACACCCTGCCCCTTCAACTAACCTGGCGGTGTCGTCCCCCAGTACAATATGCAGAGCTCTAAAACCACATCCCTCTCCCTCGCTAACCTGGTGGTCTCGTCGCCCAGCACATACAGAGCTCTAAGACTGTGGGCCTCTCTCTAACTGACCTGGCGGTCTCGTCGCCCAGCCGGGCGGGCTCGATGATGATGGTGTGGCAGCGGGCGTCCAGGGCACGCTCCAGCTCCACCTCGAACCGCTCCTGGTCCTGGTTCCCCTGGTACAGCTCGCGGATGATGGCCACATCCTCGGGCCGGGGGCCGTCCCTGCTCGCGGAGGGTGGGGGTCAGCAATGGGTCTGAAGGGGCCAACAGAAATCAGTAGTGGTTGGGAATGATTTATGTTGTCCAAATGAATCATATTGGCCCTACACCTGAAAGGCCAGAGAGGGTTAGTCTTATGTTGACGGGGATCCGGAGAAACTTTGAGGATCTGATAAGCCTAGAGGGATGAGGAAGGGTTTGGACTGCAGGGATGTGGAGTCGTGAAAAGTTCAGACGGCTCCGGCTCCGGAGCTCCGGAGAAAAAATCGACTCCAGCTCCGGCTCCGGCTCCGGGTGAAATGTCATGGCGGCTCCGGCTCCGGCTCCGACTCAGCACATCTCCTATGCGCAGGGATGCAGAGCGGTGGAAATTTCAGACAGCTCCGGCTCTGGCTTCGGAGAAAAAATCGGCTCCGGCTGCGGCTCCGATCAAAATGTGCCGGCTCCGACGGCTCCGGCTCCGGCTCCGCATCCCTGGTTTGGAGGCTTCAGTAGGATGGGTTTGAATGGATCAGCATCAGTCCGGATTTTGAGGGATTTCCTCTAGGGCCATGTTTAGAGAGATCAGGGGTTTGAGGGTTCAGGGGCTTATTTAGGGATTATTTAAATATATGATTGCCAAAAGATGATAGAAAAAAACAAGATAAGTTGCTGGAATCGATGCAATTTATGAGGATAGGGTTGTACATCAGTGTTGTTAGGTAAGAAAGGGTACCCAGGGATGTCAGTAACTACAGCAAGGATGGGAGTGTTCTGACAATATGAAGCATAAAGGTAGCCAAAATACTGGGGCAGAGAAGAAGTCAAGGAGAGAAAAATCAGGAGTAGTGGGCCAGGGAACTGTTATGGGGTTAGTCAGGTAGGAAGGTGGCAATTATGTAAGGTTGAATGTGGGAATTACCAAAACATCATTTTTTCTATTAAGTCCATTACTGAAGTTTGCATATCCACATGCATGCATGCATGGGGAAATATGAATAAATACACCACTTGTTGATAGACGCATCAATGACGGATCACTATTCAATAATGAAAGACAAATTTTGCTGTCGTCAAGTTACTTTACATGAATAACAGCAGATATAGGTACTCACCCAATGTTTAGAGCATATTCTGCCATCGTAGAGACTTAAAGTCAGTTTGACCCTTCCAGGATATTGAAGGTAGGTTAACCTGCGGACAAAAATAAAATAAATTGCCCTATTTGGTCACTAATACATTCACAAACTACTATGCTGTTTGAAGCGACAGTGAAATATGCAACTGTGGCTAAACAAAGTCCACAATATGTCTTATAGTTATTTGTCCACTTCCATGTTGGTCAAAACCCGCAAACGGCGGAAAAAAAGCACAATAAAATGCCATTTATCATACAAAAAATATTTCTGGACCGGTGCTTCCTCTACAACTTCATACATTATGTAGTAAACGTATCCTGATCCCATCGTATTATATCGTAGTAATGATGTTAAAATAAAATAATTCCCTAAAGTACACTTACTCATGTTTTTATCAATTTTTGTACATTTTTTTGTAAATGATTTTGATAGATTTTGATAGCTAAAAAGATATTAAGACATAAATTTTAACAATATAAAAGGAAATCTTATTAATACGTCATCAAATTTCATGTCAAAAGAGCGTAGGCTAGCGCTATGAATGTAGCAATAGCGCCAAATCGTTAATTGCGTTTATCAACACAGGCCACAGGGGATGCGCGTATAGTTACATCATATTCACATTCAGATTCACATTCAGATTCGTTCCGAATATCGATCATTTTCATCGATATTCAGATTCGTCCCGAATATCGATCATTTTCATCGATATTCGCGGCGCGCATGCGCACTGCCAATATCGATGACCTTGAATGCACATTCACATTCGTTCCGAATATCGATCAGTTTCATCGACATTCACATTGGCGGCGCGCATGCGCACTGCGAATATCGATGACCTTGAATGCACATTCACATTCGCGTTCCGAATATCGATCAGTTTGATCGACATTCAGGTTGGCGGCGCGCATGCGCGCTGCGAATATCGATGACCTTGAATGCACATTCACATTCGCTGCGCGCATGCGCACTGCGAATATCGATGACCTTGAGTGCACATTCAGATTCAGTGGAGGGGGGAGGAGGGGGGGGGGGTATCAATTCCCGCGGCATAGGCGGCGGAACGGGGAGGGCACCGGGAGTTTCTTACATGCGCAGAGGCGTTTCCAGAGCCTAGTTCTTGGAGGCACTTTTCGCCAGACTTCGACTTTTCCGATATTTACCGGTAGAGAACGTTTTTAGCCGCGCGTTAGCAATGGTATTTTGCGGCACAATTCTGTTCTCAATTTGAAATCCTTTGTATGTCTTCTAAACTACAAATGCATTCAAGCGATGACGTTTGATTTTGTTTGTTAATTTTTGTGGTAGGTAAATCAGGAGCTGCGTGCGGCCGCGAAACAGCTCGTTTTGTGTGCCTCCAGCACCTCGGTACATCTGGCTTCAATCAAAAGAAAGGAACTGCAACATAGTTACATATATTGTATTTATCATAGCACCGGACACAGCCGGCCAACAGGCGCGAGCAGCACACGCTCCCTAGCAACTTAATACTGGGTCAGCGGCGACAGAGCCGGCCGTGAGATCACGCAGCGTCGCCAGCCGCGCCAGGAACTCAACAGAACAGTGTACGGGGCCAGCAGCAGCCGCTCCGCCCCGCCCCGCCGCGCGGGTCGCAACTGTCCCACCCCGTGAGCACGTGGGGGCCTCCTCTGACGCCGCAGGGAACACACGATCCCTCCAAGACACAGGTGCAGACAGGCACTGGGGTATCCGCACGCTGTCCATGTGGACTCGAACGGGCATCCAAACTGGAGGTCCAGGCCGACCGACTCCAATCGCCCTGGCGACTACACGCGACATTGGATCCTGCCCGCCGCGCCGGTAGATGTTAGCAGCGGGCAGACTCCACCGCGCAACCCACTCTGTAGCCCAGGGGGCCCGGGGTTCGCCCCATGATCGGAGCACGCCGCCGTCACGAACTACAGCCGCGCGCTTCCGCCGCCGGAGGCGCTGGCGGCGGTGCGGCAGCCGTTAGAAGCTCTGCGCGACGTGACGGAGCGCCGATGACGACGACGGCGCGGTGTGCGTGATGAAGCAGATGAGACGGGTGGGCACTGGGCAGCACTCCGGCGTTCAGCTGGTAAAACTCCACCAGCTGGATGACGTCGTACAAGCGAGTCTTACCGCCGTCCAGCACCGTGACCGGCGGCTGACTGGTGTCCTTTACCTGTGGAGGGGAGAAAATGGTCAACTGAGGTCGGTGGGCGACCAGCAGGGGGCCAATGAGATGGCCGGATCGACACCGGATTAATCTTTATGCACGTATGATCGCTACTAATGATAGCACGACCGGTAAGTCATCGTCCAGGGAAATCTAAGTCTAAATGTAGTACAAACTGTCGGAAGACAACGGCTAATCGTCGCGAATCCCAAACCGTTTCGCAATAATCCATGACCTACGCCAACAATTGGCAACAGAACTCGGCCAAAGTCTACTAATATCGAGCCAGCTGGCCTCTTCTCCTCCCTTCCAGAGCCTTCCTGGGCATTTCACAACTGCTACCCTACCAGCTGGATGCACGTTCGTCGCTCATTCATCATGTCTAGTTCATGAGCGTCAGTTTCTTTTGAAATGTGAGCTGCCGACCAGCGTCCCAGATTAAACTTTGCATCTCGAATGGGCCGAGCGGGGAAAACAACCGCGGCTCTGAGAGGGTCCCGAAAGGCTAAGCGCTAGACGGGGCTAACTCACCTGGAGAATAAAACGCCGGGACCAGAAAGCGGTCTCATTTCCAGCACTGGTGGGCAGCACTCTGGCGTTCAGCTGGTAAAACTCCACCAGCTGGATGACGTCGTACAAGCGAGTCTTGCCGCCGTCCAGCACCGTGACCGGCGGCTGACTGGTGTCCTTTACCTGTGGAGGGGAGAAAATGGTCAACTGAGGTCGGTGGGCGACCAGCAGGGGGCCAATGAGATGGCCGGATCGACACCGGATTAATCTTTATGCACGTATGATCGCTACTAATGATAGCACGACCGGTAAGTCATCGTCCAGGGAAATCTAAGTCTAAATGTAGTACAAACTGTCGGAAGACAACGGCTAATCGTCGCGAATCCCAAACCGTTTCGCAATAATCCATGACCTACGCCAACAATTGGCAACAGAACTCGGCCAAAGTCTACTAATATCGAGCCAGCTGGCCTCTTCTCCTCCCTTCCAGAGCCTTCCTGGGCATTTCACAACTGCTACCCTACCAGCTGGATGCACGTTCGTCGCTCATTCATCATGTCTAGTTCATGAGCGTCAGTTTCTTTTGAAATGTGAGCTGCCGACCAGCGCCCCAGATTAAACTTTGCATCTCGAATGGGCCGAGCGGGGAAAACAACCGCGGCTCTGAGAGGGTCCCGAAAGGCTAAGCGCTAGACGGGGCTAACTCACCTGGAGAATAAAACGCCGGGACCAGAAAGCGGTCTCATTTCCAGCACTGGTGGGCAGCACTCTGGCGTTCAGCTGGTAAAACTCCACCAGCTGGATGACGTCGTACAAGCGAGTCTTGCCGCCGTCCAGCACCGTGACCGGCGGCTGACTGGTGTCCTTTACCTGTGGAGGGGAGAAAATGGTCAACTGAGGTCGGTGGGCGACCAGCAGGGGGCCAATGAGATGGCCGGATCGACACCGGATTAATCTTTATGCACGTATGATCGCTACTTATGATAGCACGACCGGTAAGTCATCGTCCAGGGAAATCTAAGTCTAAATGTAGTACAAACTGTCGGAAGACAACGGCTAATCGTCGCGAATCCCAAACCGTTTCGCAATAATCCATGACCTAGGTACGCCAACAATTGGCAACAGAACTGGGCCAAAGTCTACTAATATCGAGCCGGCTGGCCTCTTCTCCTCCCTTCCAGAGCCTTCCTGGGCATTTCACAACTGCTACCCTACCAGCTGGATGCACGTTCGTCGCTCATTCATTATGTCTAGTTCATGAGCGTCAGTTTCTTCTGAAATGTGAGCTGCCGACCAGCGTCCCAGATTAAACTTTGCATCTCGAATGGGCCGAGCGGCGAAAACAACCGCGGCTCTGAGAGGGTCCCGAAAGGCTAAGCGCTAGACGGGGCTAACTCACCTGGAGAATAAAACGCCGGGACCAGAAAGCGGCCTCATTTCCAGCACTGGTGGGCAGCACTCCGGCGTTCAGCTGGTAAAACTCCACCAGCTGGATGACGTCGTACAAGCGAGTCTTGCCGCCGTCCAGCACCGTGACCGGCGGCTGACTGGTGTCCTTTACCTGTGGAGGGGAGAAAATGGTCAACTGAGGTCGGTGGGCGACCAGCAGGGGGCCAATGAGATGGCCGGATCGACACCGGATTAATCTTTATGCACGTATGATCGCTACTTATGATAGCACGACCGGTAAGTCATCGTCCAGGGAAATCTAAGTCTAAATGTAGAACAAACTGTCGGAAGACAACGGCTAATCGTCGCGAATCCCAAACCGTTTCGCAATAATCCATGACCTACGCCAACAATTGGCAACAGAACTCGGCCAAAGTCTACTAATATCGAGCCAGCTGGCCTCTTCTCCTCCCTTCCAGAGCCTTCCTGGGCATGGGCGTCACCACCACTAGGGACACTAGGGACATTGTCCCTAGAAGTTTTGAAATCATCGAAAACTACTAGGGATTGTCCTTAGAAGTTTTTGGAGCTCCCTTTACTGGGGACACGCAAAGAACCCGGGACACAATAATGACGCAACTTGCTCAGCTCTCCAAACACATGTGTTTTGCGTTGCGAACGGTCGCGTCAACATCGCCACGATAAATAAAAAGGCCCACGAGCGGTGTGCCTCCTCACAGATGTGACGGTGTCCTCCGGCCTCCAGGCACGTGCGTGTGGTCGCCGTAAAGCTGGATACGGCAGGCCGGCACTCGTCCGAGAAATTGGTCGAGTTTGTTTCCCAGTCACCCGAGGAGACACCCGAGCCGATTCTGGAGGTGCCCAGCGTGATTGCTCAAACGAACTCGGCTGGTTACATACAGGTCCAGCTTATAAACCCGACCGATGACGATATGCAACTGCCCGCCGGTTACGAGCTGGGGCAGACCCAGCTGTATGAGGGGCTGGTCGCCAAAGTGCGCGTGGACCCGGCGGGAGGTCAGGATCAGGGCAGTACTGGGCCGCCGCTCTGGGCCGGCCGCTGGTCAAGCCAACATTTCCTAAATCAATTCCCTCTGGAACATCGGAGTGGGGATCGGAGACGGCGGGTAGAGGGGGGAGGCATCAGGGCCATGCCCCCCGCCCAAAGGGAAAATCAGGGGTCATCATATAATTTGCCCCCCCCCCCAAAAAAAAACAAGC